CGCTCTTGTCGCTTATGACAGAACAGCTAATCACGATGATCTTGTCTTCGGACAAGATAACTTTTTTTCGCTTATGTCAGAAACAGCGAATCTCTTTAAAAACTGGCTGTTGTTCTCACTACATTGCATTGTTATAATTCGTAAAAGTTGTACCCGCCAACTGGCGACTGACACTGTTACATTGACTCGCCAACGCTGATTTTTACTCGCATTTGGCGCTTGGCGAGTGTTAATTTTAGGCCCTGCATGCATCCCATGTTGAGTGCATGATTGTTTCGATGGAAGTACCTTTCCATCCTTCACACAGGCAACCTAAAGTGCTATCCGTCTATAGATCCCATTATGTTAAGCAAAACTTTAAACTAAATCTAGTGGCTACAATATCTATCCATCTATCTATCTATCTATCTATCTATCTATGTGTCTGTCTGTCTGTCGTTCGATCATTCGTTTTTATTGTTCTATCTATCTATCTATCTATCTATCTATCTATCTATCGTTTGATCGTTTGTTATTTCTATTGTTCTGTCGTTTAGTCATTTTATCTATCTGTCTGTCTGTCTGTCTGTCTCTGTCGTTCGATCATTCGTTTTTATTGATCTATCTATCTATCTATCTATCTATATCGCTTGATCGTTCGTTCTTTCTATTGTTCTATCGTTTAGTCTATCTATCTATCTATCTATCTATCTATCTATCGTTTGATCGTTTGTTCTTTCTATTGTCGTTTAGTCATTTTATCTATCTGTCTGTCTCTGTCATTCGATCATTCGTTTTTATTGATCTATCTATCTATCTATCTATCTATCTATCTATCTACCTGTCTGTCTGTCTATCTACCTGTCTGTATTCACAATAGTCTATGACTAATTTTTTAGTTCTGAGGTTCACACATTTTTACTGTAGCTGAGATACCTGCACATCTCTCAGCAGGTCATTCACGTCTACAGTGTAAATTTGTCCAATCAGTGTCCACCGCTGTGTTTGAACAGAGATCAATGGTGGGAATCTTTTGTCTTGGAGATGATTAGCATAATGATGAGCTGGCTCTGACCTCACAACTACCATCAATCACAACTCTGCTATCTGTTCAAAGCTTTGAGCTTACCTTGAGTTTGGCTCTGAACTAAAACCTTTAAGATGTCATTTAAATGTGTTTAAACAAAAGTGATAAGGATGGATGGCATATAAATGATGACTGTTTAATGGAAATTTCAAACAGAGTGATTCATGATAAAGGTTTCTGTCAACAGGACATGCTTCTTTTAATCTAAAGGTCATCTCATGCTTGTTAAGGAAATGGTGTTGATTTCTGCAGCTGCTGGCATCATTTTCTTTCACCGAAGCCCAACAGGGTGGCATTTCCTTTGAGTCATGGAGAGATCAGAAACACTACAGTTCTCTGTAATTCTAAAATTTGCGCTGGAACAGTGAAAATGTGTTGTGCTATTGCTGATACATTTTAAACGTTATCTTCACTATTATGCACATTTGTCACAGAGCTTTTGCTATATTCATCTGCATCCCCACAAGGCTCTTGAGATTTTACGGACCCTTAAATAAGAAATCTTCCTTGCATTCATAAAAAGGTCATGTACTGCAAAAGGTCATTATTTAGTCAAGCCATTCCAAACCTGTGTGACTTACTTTCTTCCATGCAACACAAAACTGTGTTCTGTGAAGCCCGACAGTTTAGTCACGATGAAAGACAAGGCTGTGGTTTGTAAACTTCAGCAGAGTTTACAGAGAATTTCAGAAAAAGTTGTGATCACGCTCTGAGGAGCACAGTGGCAGCGGTCTTGTAGTGTATCTGCTTGTTTCTATTTATACGTAGACAACCACGTTTCATGGGTTGCCTGAGACAGAGTGTATCAAGCTGACAATTTCATATGCACCGCATCGAGGATATAAATAAAGTCTCTTCTCCAAGGGGCGAGATGAAGAGAAACTTTAGAATCCTAATTTGCATGGAAACATCTCAAATTTATGATGCAGTTATCTTATATTCCTTTAATGCGGTTCAACATTTCCCCTAAATTAGATAAGCGTGCAAATCGCGTTTATGTTTTATTTACATTCGGTTTCGGCACGCTAGATTACGACGCTCGTGGATTCAAAGATAACGTCCAACAGATCATCCATCATTGGTTCTGTTACCAGGTACTTGTCTGAATCAAAAAAGCTGATAACAGCAGCCACATTTTTGGTTTTATTCAATAGTTTGTCTAAAAATGACAATTTGTCGGCGGCGATAGCCTAGTGGGCAGTGGGCCGATATATAAAGGCGTTGCGTTGCAGGTGTCCTGAGTTCGAATCCCGACTTGAGGACCTTTCCTGATCCCGCCCCCTTCTCTCTATCCCACGTCACTTCCTGTCTACTCTGCACTATCCTATCTTAATAAAGGCAAAATGCCAAAAATAAATCTTAAAAATAAATTAAAATGACAATTCAGAATTGTACTCACTCTTAGCAATGCAACAGGTTGAGGTCGATAAAATGTTGATAAATGTTGATAAAATGGTTTCTCATGCTCAAAAATACAGTAAAAAACAATAATATTATTACCATTTAAAAATAAGTATTTTAATATATATGTATTTAATGTTTTAAATGTAATGTATACCTGTGATAGTAAAGCTGAATATTCAGTAGTCATTACTCTAGTCTTCAGAGTCACATGATCCTTCAGAAATCATTCTAATATGCTGATTTGATACGAAACATTTCTTATTATCATCAGTGTTGAAGACATTTGTGCTTCTTAATATTGTTTTTTGTGGAAGCCGTGAGACATTTTTTTCAGGAGTCTTTATAATGAATGAGTTTATTTGAAATTGAAATATTTTGTAACATTATAAATGTTTTTACTCTCACTTTTGATCAATTTAGTGCATTCTTCCTGTATAGAAGTATTCATTTCTTTCAAAAAAATATCTTTGATCGGTATATTTAGCAGAATGCCCAAACAGCAACAGCAGAGAGTTACCAAAAAAGCACCATTAAAGCAGTCCATACTAATATTTTGTTATTTGCATATTCAAACCGGCTACTAAATATCTCCTTTTGTGTTCCACTAAAGAAACAAAGCCATGCAGGTTTGAAACAACATGAGGGTGCATTAATTATTATGGCTATAATGTCAATATCAATGTCTGCTGTTGTAATTCTTACCTTCAGATTTGATTAGCGTATGGCCCTTTTAATTCTGCTGTGAATGTGCTGTAATTGCTGTGTGTGTGAGTATTCGGTGGCAGCAGAACAGAGGCAAAGTATTAAACAATAATGTGCAGTATTTTGCCTGAGGGGCCAATGGTGAGACTGAGCCATGATCAAGAATTTGTGATCTAATTTAGGGGCAGTGAGGCGTTGAGTCTCCTCTCTGTGGACTTTTGGCTCCCTATACCACTCCATTTGCTCTTTTTTTTTTTAACTGACCAGCCCCTCAAAACTTTTCCAGAGCAGTTGACCCAGGGCAGCAGAGCCCTTCTAAAGAATGGACAGGCCTTTGGCATTTCTTGGCATAGTGCAGATGTTTGATGTTAAAGTGGGTCCTGACCAGGAATATCATTCAGATAACGCAAAACTTGCTAATTAAATTCATTTTCATGAATCAGTTCCTCTGTCTATCTATCTATCTATCTATCTATGTATCTATCTATCTGTCTATCTGTCTGTCTGTCTGTCTGTCTGGACGCTTGAGGTATTCGGTCAATCACAACGCACTGGATAGCTGGCCAATCACAGCACACCTCGCTTTTTCAGACTGATGAGCTTTGTAAAAATCGACACGTTTCAAAAAGGCGGGGCATAGAGGAGTACACAATAATTTACAGTATGTGGAAAATAATGTTTTTTTAACTTTAAACCGCATGTTTATGTACATTTCATTACACCAAATACACAAAATAATGTTATTTTTAGCAGCATCATATAACCTTTAAACAATACATACATTGAATAAAAGGCTTAATCAACTTACATTTTTTTAGTTTTATTGCTCAGCCCTACTGCTGAAAAATCTGTGTGCCTGTTTCATTATTATCAAAGTCATATGAGTCCGAAGAACCAGATTTGGCATATCAGAGCAAAAATACCAAAATATTTTTTAGCATGCAGAGGCGATAGAGAAAAGTGCATGAAAAGAGCCCAGGGATGGTGTGCAGGCCTGAGATTCCAGAGACGGGGCTGAAAGATTGAAATGTCAGATATGAGTCAGAACCGCCAACCACAAAGAGATCAGGGCACTCGCACACGAATGAGAACAGAAGACAGAAAGACTATACTTGGAAAGACCCACATTTCCTAGCCCACACACAGCGTGTTATGAGTTAAATCCTGTTTTATTGATGGGGGAAAAAGGACTTTTCAAATCAAAATGTTTTCCACAAGAAGCATTTTTCAATGTGCAGTGCCTTTGCCCGGAGCTCAAAGCCCTTTTGAGCTCAAAGTTCATATTTTTTCTGGATAAAAACAGTTTTTTTTTTGTTCTGTTAGCCCAAAAATATGGCATAATGATCTGTTTAAGGCAGTGCTGACCTTTAAAACTTCCCCTCTACAGTAAGTGTGACCTCCAGCACACGAGCCGCTCCTCTGAACTGATTCTTCTAGAAAGGTGAGAAGAAGACAGGGGTTTTTAAATGTCAATAGGTTTGCTCTTGATCAGATATATCTCACTTTTGGTTGTTTCTAGTGGGATTGTGGACCACATTTTAAATTTCTGAGTTGTTTTTATTATATGTAACGGTTTTTGTTTTAATCTATATTTTATTTTAGTCAAACATACAAACTTCATGGTGCAGATGAGCTGCTTGATTCTCAATGCAGTCAGTCCCTTGAAGTCAACTTACTAGTTCAGTCGTGCTCAGAAAGACAAATGGTGTCATCTAGTGGTGACCTGGTGGTATAACAGCTGCAACATACACATTCTTCACTGTGTGCATTATTTCAAATCTGAAATCTGCTGGCTGGTAATCTGACAAAGCTGTGTGCTGTTCCACAGATCATAACACAGAAGTACAGCCGGTTCTCATGGGTGGCAGAGCTGATCCAGATCTTCATCACCATCAGTATAACCGTGAGCTTCCTCGTAATGGGCATAGCCATGAAGCACACCAGTGAGTTTTTTATTTTTATTTTATTATGCTCTAAGTGCTTCATCGTGCATGTATTAGGAATAAAATAAATAAAAATCCCAACATCTCAGCATCACTCTGTTGGTCATGTGATGCCTATGTAAAACAAATAAACTTTATTTTAGCTTATAGCTTATTTACAACTTTATATATATATATATATATATATATATAAATTTCCCTGTTACACTTAATGTTTTTGCATTTTCTTGGTTAAATAAACATTACATAAAAAGAGAGTACAACAATAATTCTATTTTGTATTTTGTTAACATTGTTCTTATTTTATTTAACATTTTAAATAATAATTATACATTTCATAGTGTGTTTATGCATTTTTACATTTATTCCGAAATAATAACGAAAGGCAGTAACAATTTGAACAATATTTTGGAAAGACTTCATTAGTTAGGCTAACATTAGTTAACATGAACTAAGAATGAACACTTCTACAGCATTTATTAATCTTAGTTAGATGCTATTTACACTAAGTGCAAATAAATATCGATTCTATTTACACTGTTAAAATAGCAGGATTTTCTGCTATTTATACTACTTATTTCAAATAGTGGCAATTATCTGCACCTTATATTGTAGAACATTATAAAACAAAAACAGTATGCAATTATAAAAGTGTAAATTATAATTTTAATTCTGTCAGGACCACTATCGTCAAAGATGATTGACAATTAGCATACAGTTTGGATTGGCGGTATGGTTCTGTTCTGGGCAAGAACTCCCTGCGCATCCATGCAGCCCAGCATGGATGAGAGCAGGGAGAGCAGCAATAACCCCCCAGGGTAAACAGAACAGAACCAACAAATGCATTGCAGATATCGTTAAAGTTCAATAATGTTAAGTACACATTTTAGAATTAGTCTGATTAAAAAAAAAATCAGAAGACTGAATCCCGACTGACAGAGGAGGAGCTGGGGATGGAGGAGGGTAATTAGCTATTGAGCAATGCGAAAACGGCTGATAATACTGAGGGACCTTATATATGAATGCTTAGATAGGTGTCGTATTCCCATAGGTAGATGGGGATCAGCTGAGAGTCAGCTGATGCGAGCCTGACTAACGTGACCTGCCAGAACTAACGCTACGCTTGATTTCAGATTATTAAATGGATGCCACCGTATTGGGACAATATAAGCCCTCCCTACACCTACCCGATGTGATATGAGATTTGAAAATGGAGGGGGAAAAAAGTTCGGTAAAGGGTGGAATCGAATCCGGGTCGATCGCATCAAAAATGACTTCGCTACACGCTTTACTATCTACGCCACTGGATTTGTTAATTAACAATTGTTTTTTTGTAGTAACCTTACATTGATGGGCGGAGTTAGTGTAAATAGTTTCTGCCAACAAGGCGGACTATAGACACTCCATTTTTAATAGTGAACTGATGTTCAGCTGTTCTTTTTAATAGTCAATTTATTTTCGAGTCATCGCCATAAAAGCCCTGTAAACACTGTCACAGACACGAAGATACATCTTTCATTTCATCAAGCTGAATGCTCAGTAACTCACACGGTCATCACGTTTTCAGGCCATTTCAAGTTTTATTTTGACGTGACACATAGCAGTGATATCTAAGCGGGTGAGTTGTTTACTTGCTTAATATTTAGTCAATAACGCCATAATTTTCTTCATTCAGGCCGAGAGCTTGCACGAAAACAAGAGGCGGGATTTATCGCATGAACTAATCACATCCAATCATAACCGATCATATCCAATCATAGCACGATGGAGGCATTGCCTCCTCTCACGTGATTGTCCCCCATTCATTCTCAATTACCCCCCACTTAAACTCACGGCACGCTAAGGGGTCTCTGTTGTAAGTCCATGGGCTGAAGGGAGGCAAGCCTCCGCAAGAATTCTACCTGCGGGTGTCGCTGTTGGACAGTGTTACTTTATAAAAACGAGTGACTTTTTTTACTTTTAATGTCATATTTATTAGTAATATTTGCGTACATACATATACATTCAGCCCTATATATAGTCTACATTTTTTTATTATTAATTCATGTCTTATATATGTTTTTTTTATTTTATATGCAACAACTATATTGAAATATCTCCTCCTAATATAAAAAATGAAAATAAATAAAGATAAAATAAAAATAAATAATCTGTAAAAGAGTTGATCAGTCGCCATGCAGCAGCAAACCCAGATTTAGAAGAGTATTCCCACTGGTCTGCTTATTGAATGCCAGTCATCAGTGTGTCCTACACATGATCAAGGCCTCTGCTGGAGGTTGTGTGTCCAGTCCTGCTCTCAGAGACTGCTCTTGGCTCTGTTACACTGCCTGCTGCATCTATCAGAGAGGCTGAAGCCTGTTTCTGGGCCCAGTCCAGCAAAGCTCTCAGCAGAGGGTGTCAGTGTGAATTATGTCCAACCCATGGCTCACCACGGTATGAATTCAAATAGCCTCTAACACATTACAGTGAGCTGCATGTGACACATTCCATCTGTTAATGTTGAGTGAGTGTGATCTTGCATCTGGCTATTAGTTGCCAGTGTGAAACAGTATTGTGTAGGAAGAGATTGTATGAAGTAACTATGATGCTGCAGAGCAGGTTAATTGAAAAGACTAATTATTATTAACTTGAATAATAATAATAATAATAATAAGATTAAGGTCAGAGAGAGAGACATAGCCATGGACTAATTATTACCTGGAATATTGTTTTCAGATACAAAACATCCCACAGTCAGAACAAATATTCATAACAAACTGTTCTTTCAAAGGTGAACTGAGTATGTACATTTATATATAATGTAAATGTAATATGTAAACATTTTAAAATGTAATTTATTCCTGTAATGATGAAGCAGAAACTAAAGCTTGTGCTGCTTAATATGCGACCCTGGACCACAAAAGCAGTCTTAAGTAGCACGGTATATTTGTAGCAATAGGCAAAAATACATTGTATGGTTCAAAATTATCGATTTTTCTTTTATACCAAAAATTATTATGCTCATGTTCCATATTTTGTACATTTCCTACCATAAATATATCAAAACTTAATTTTGGATTAGTAATATGCATTGCTAAGAACTTCATTTGGACAACTTTAAAGGCGAATTTCTCAATATTTTGATTTTTTTTTACCCTCAGATTCCAGATTTTCAAATAGTTGTATCTCGGACAAATAATGTCCTATCCTAACAAACCATACATCAATGGAAAGCTTATTTTTTCAGAATTATTTCAAATTCAATTAAAAAAAAAAAAAAAATTACCCTTATGACTGGTTTTGTGGTCAAGGGTCACATATTTTTGTGGAAATGATGATACATTTTTTTCAGGATTCTTAGAAAGTTATTTGAAATAGTAAGTAACTTTTACATTGTTACAAAAAAATCTGTCAGTTTTGAACAGTGCATGTGTGTGTAGTACTTGAAGTACTAAAATAACTAAAACTAAATCAACTAAAATTAATGTTAAAAATGTATATAAAAAACTATATAGACCAAAAAATGTCAAATGTCAATAAAAACTTTAAAAATTAAAGTGAAGATAAAAATATATTTTTTAAATATTAATAAAATGTGTACACTGATTTTCACTGCAATTACCAAAAACAGCAAAACATTGTATGGGTCAAAATTATTGATTTTTCTTTTATGCCAAATAATCATTAGGAAATTAAGCAAAGGTCATGTTCCATGAAGATATTTTGTAAATTTCCTACTGTAAATATATCAAAACTTAATTTTTGATTAGTAATATGCATTGCTAAGGACTTCATTTGGACAACTTTAAAGGTGAATTTCTCAATATTTTGATTCTTTTTGACGCCCTCAGATTCCAGATTTTCAAATAGTTGTATCTCATCCAAATATTTTTGGAATTTTTATACATTATAGTATAAGAAACTGAAATAGAAGGAAAAAAACACTGTGTGAGTACTCAATTTCGGTCGTAAATTGTAGATTTTAAGTATCAAATGTGGTCGAGTATAGTAACAACAAATATGGCAATGCTCTGTTACATGAACAAATTCAACAAAGAAAGCTGTAAAAAGACATGCACAAGGCATGCAGGCTGATGCTGATGTAACCGATTTTAAACAACATTTACCACATCAGGCCACATCACTGCAATCTCCAAGGCTGCAGTTGATCATAAGGCTGTTGAGTATTTCTAACAGAACTGTCCCTGATGACATCTAGTTATCTGTGGTGTGTGTGGGCCACACTGTACCATTCACTTGTCTGATGTAAAAAATGCACACACACACATATATATATATATATATATATAGTGTGTGTATATTACATATATATATTGTTTTGTGGTCCAGGGTCACACATATATATATATATATATATATAGTGTGTGTGTGTGATATTTTTTCCTATCTGTGGCCTTAATGAAACCTCGCTAATAAAGCATTTCATGATTGTCTCCTTACAATGTAGCCATCAGATTCCCGCAGCACTAATTTCACGATCTAACGTGGCCTCTGCTTTCAGTCGATGGCCTCGTCTTCTCACACTGGACGGAGAACGCTGAATGGATGGCGAGAATCAGCGCGAGGCTGTTGCCCCATAGCTCACAGTGGAGGACATCAGGCCAGAGCTTACAGCACTGCAGACGGTAAACTCTGGATTCAGCCCTGGCAGATCATTTCACACACCATTTCTTACAGCTTTACAGCCCGTCACCGCACACACAGCCAGCATATTCCTTTACTCTGCTAATAAAAAAGGCTTCTGCTGCATTAAAAACACTGGCTTTGATAAATCGCAATAACTCCCAGACTCAACAACCTCTCCGCTTTCCCTTCTTCCAGGTTCTTCAGCAGTTTCATGTGCTTTTTGGCTTTCGGCCTCATTTTTGTCGTTTCAGCTTGTGATCCGAAGGTCAGTACTCATTTGAAGCTGATGTTTGGAGTTTATGCTAATAATGTGATGATTCATGTGGATTAGGTTCACATATTTCTTCTTTTATCCAGCTGCAGTACATCTCATTAGAGGAAGGATGTGCACAGAATAAATATAACAAAGATTTATCAAGCAGCCACTAGTGATTACAGAGGAAGTAGAATGCATTGATTCCCCAGGTTCAGCCGCTGCTGGAAGGTTTTGCATTGATAAAAATCACTGAGCTTCAACAGGTGGACTGCTAGTTATTATTATGCGAAAAGTGAAAATATGCATTTAACAAAAAATACAGTATTAAAATAAATGATAGATTAGGCTTAAAATGCAACATGCAACACTTGAGTTATCAGTGTTATTTTAGTATTATTATTTGTATATTATCATTTTTGTAATTTTCTAATAATGTTTATATTTAGTGTTAGTCTGTTTTAGTTTTAGTTTCAGTTATTTTAATATTCCAGCTTACACTTATTTTAGTCCGATTTTTTCTAAAACTTTTTTTATTTTCCATCTAATTATTGTTAACTAAAACTAAAATAAATACTAAAACTAAATACCTAAATACTTTAAACTAAATAAACATTAACTGAAATGAAATAATCTATTAAAATGTTTTACTTCAGCTAGATGCTAAGACAACATTTGTCATTTTCTTTGATTTTAACTTGAATTACTGAAATAACTAAAGCTAAATAAAATAAATGTCATTAAAAAAAAATATTACTATATTAACACATGAAACAAATAGCAATTTAGAAAAAAAAAATGACAATAACAAAAATTATTAAAACTTTAAAATAAAGCGAAAATATAAAAAAAAAAACTAATTCAAAATCTTAACACAAAATATCAGTGATACCAAAAATGTTTAATAAATTTAGTTTAAAATTTTAATTAACAATAACAACACTGATAAATAAAGTTTTCCATCTTATTATCTGTTGCATAGGGATATTAAAATAAATTATAGATTAGGCTTAAAATGCAACACACAACACTTCAATTATCAGTGTTATTTTAGTATTATTATTTGTATATATTTTATTTATTTCACTTTAGCTTACACCTATTTTAGTCAATGTTTAAAAAATAAATGTATTTCCACTTTATTTTCATTAAGGTTATTATTGTTAATTAAAACAAAATAATAATAAAAATAATTGAAACTAAATAAATATTAACTGAAATAAAATAAACTATTTTTTTTTTACTTCAGCTAGATGCTATGACAACATTTGTCATTTTCTTTTATTTGAACTTGAAGTACTAAAATAACTAAAGCTGAATAAACGAAAATTCATTTTAAAATAATAATACTAATAATAATATTACACATTAAACAAATGACAAATTAGACTAATTAAAAAAGACAATGAAAATGACAATAACAAAAAAATAATAAAACTAAAATATAGTTAAATAAAAAATATTTTTTAAAAACCTAATTCAAAATATTAACACAAACTGTATCAATGGTACTAAAATAGCACTGATTTCAATTACAATACCAAACACAATTTTTAATAGATTTAGTTTTCAATTTTAGTTAACAAAAACAACACCGATAAATAACGCTTTCCATCCTATTATCTGTTGCGTAGGGATTTGTTGTGATGCTCGACAAAGTGGTCTCCTTCTCCTTGAACACGGAGGTGGGCTTGTTCATCTTCCTCATGCTGAGATCCTCCAGATCAGAGCGTTTCAAGTGAGTAAAAGCATTTGTTCATCTATATCCCCATCCGTCCTCCTGTTTCACCGCTCCTTTCTGTTTCCAGGCATCTGACGGTGCCTCTGCCGGCGCGCGAGAGACTCTTCAGGCTCCACTGGCTGCTGCCCATCTACTTCCTGTTCGCCGTAGCTTACGACGTCTTCCAGAGCATCCTAGAGATCACTGAGAACGTGGCGCTCGTCCCCCACACCAATTCTTCTCTTGGATGAGAATGACTGGATATCAGGTGGGACAACATGTGCTGCTGAGGTCTCTGAGGAACGGACAGTTATTACCTCACACTGTGTCCGTGACCCAAACAACACACATAACTCAAGAGGACACACACACTGATCACAGAACCAGCCCAAACTTCGTTCACAGTGCTGCACCAGTATAGATCATAAATGTTTAGGTAAAAAAAAGGCCCCTAGTTTTCGCAAGCTAAGACTATTTTTATATCCTCCAGCAAATTGCACGAGTTAGGAAACATATTTTGATTGCCTCAACAAAACGCGGTGATTAAATCTGCAGTCGTGCCATCAAACCATAGCAACGTTCCAAGAAGAGCTGCTACAAAAAGATCTTTAAGGAAATCATGGGCTGTTATTGTATCCAGTATATAATTTGTGATTTAACGAGCAGACTGGAGTGACAAGGAAGAAACCACGAGACAACAGAGTGAAATAGAGGTGTGAGTTGTTTATGTATGTGTAGATCACATCATTCAGATATTATGTAATAAAAGATTCAAATACTTTCTTGGCAAGATTACGTTTAATATGACTGCTATTAAATTATGGAAATAGTTCAACCAAAAAAAAAGGGAATTCTGTTGACACGTGTATGCGTAAAATAATTTGTGTATTTAAAAAAAAGTAAATTATAATATTTATCTGAGTTAATATGATATGATGTGGTTCAAAAGCTTGAATTCAGGATGTTTTTATTTTTTAAAGAAATGATACTTTTATTCAACACGCATGCATTAAATTAATCAAACGTGACAGTAAAGACATTTGTTACAAACGATTTTATTTCAGAGAAATGCTGTTCTTTTGAACTTTCTATTCAACTAATCCTGAAAAAAAAAAAAAAACACTTTCCACAAAAATATGAAACAGCACGACTGGTTTTGAACATTGTTAAAAATAAAAATATATTTCTTGAATGATTTGCGAAGAAAATAAAATTGTTTTAAAATATATTAAAATAGAAACCAGCTATTGTAAACTGTAATATTTCACTATTAGTTTTTATTGTATTTTTGATGCAGGTTTGATGAGCATGAGATGAGGAAAAAAAAAAAAAACTAAAACTTACCAACCCCAAAGTTGTGTATAAGAAAAGTTTTTAAACTTACAGTGGAAAAGCAATAGCAATGTCTTACCTGCCTAATTAAATGGACTTTTAAATTATAAAGCAAAGCAATGTTAACCAATGACATTACTGTTTGGAATAATGACAAAACACGAGTGACATTAGTAGTCATAAATAATGGATTTTCTTTTTTGGCTTAACTATTCTTAAAGCTGCAGTCCGTAACTTTTTTTGGTTAAAAATGATATATTTTAAAGACAACCAGTTCGAAGGGAGCATAATTTGCTTTTTGGTTTAAAAGAATTCCTTGATATGAAATTCTAATGGTGTGACAATTAGAGATTAGACTGTACAGAAATTGAAATCTACACACTTAATACACACTATACTCATAGTCACGCAAAGCTGATGTTGTTAACATTAATAATCTGAGAATAAAGTATAACGTCTTATTTGGGTCATATATTCCAAGATGTAGGCTAGAATCTGTGATTACTAAGTATAGGATTCACACCAATGAGGTGACTGACTGACTGCCACACATACTCCGTCCTCAGAACGTTAGATTCATCTGCGCCAGAGTACAACCCACGCAAGCAAGATAATTCCGCAAGTAACTGCAGTTCCAGGTTTTCAAACAGAGATGGCGACAAAGAGGCAAAACTTACGGACTGTAGCTTTAAGGTAGTCTTAGTAGTCTGGTTCAGTTTTAATAACTATAGCTGTTTAATTTGCACCATCACTTAATATTGAATAGTCAAATCAGGACAATAAAAACACAGCCATAATATCAAAATATACTTTATTTTGGACTCCAGATCTGATTCAAATGACAACAGATCAATGCAATGCAGGGGGGAACTTTTGCAACCAAAAACATTTGACTGGGGAAACAAAGACCAGGTGTGGGGACATCTGAGAACTCGTGGGACTCAGAGTGAGCAAAACTGAGGTCTACGCTGTACACCCTCAAACCGACCTCCAGTAGTTTGTTGGGGTTTTCTTTTTTTCTCTCTCTTTTTTTTTACATTTTTATTTACTCTTATAGCTACAAAGAAATATGAATTACAAAAGTTTTAAAAGAGTACAAAAAGTCGAGGAGACAGATGCAGTAAGAATAATGATTAGAAATGAAAGAGGAACTGAAGGTTGTTGTGGGCAGGCAGACGCTGGGGCAAAGGGACGACTCAAACACCCTTCTGTTGTCATAGGCTGTAATAAATAGTGTTCAGATGTTTTTATCAGTTTCAAATCTCAAAATACGACACCCTTGTTTAAATGCAAGGTTATAGCCTAAAAATATCTGTGAGGGACAAAAACAGATTCAGAGACAGAATTTTGCACTCTTGGGGTCTGTGACTTTTTTCCCCCCTTGATGGTCGAGGCATTGAAAAGCTTCACTGTCTAAACACGGACAAAAACCAAAGCACATTAGTATAGACTGTCCTCATGCAGGCGATTACTGTAAATGAACATCAGAATCCCATTACATGGTAGTGCAGAGAACCCCAAAAATGATATTTGCAAAAGCATTAAAATAATGTCTTTCAGATGTTTGTTCAATGTTCTGTCAACAGACTTGCTTTAGGTTTTGGGTTCTCCAACAAAAACATGCTTCAATTTTATGTTTAGCATAATAGAGAGCTACAAAAAAAATGCTGGAACTGAAAGACAAAATGAATTGAGTAAATAATCCAATTATTAAAAAGTACAAAATATTGCAAACCTAAAGCAAGTTTTTCTGTTTTCAATCCACATGTATGTCAAACCTCGGTAGCTCAAACGCCACGTCTCGAATTGAGGAACATAATTGTTGGTGTTTTTTTTAAGGGGAACGTCTACCAACTAAATACAGTAGTATGAGCGAACGGATGCATTTCCTGTAGATGTGCGTGCCTGTTTTTGTTGTTGCTGTGGTGGTTAATGTATCTCTCATTTGGGGGGAAAACAGGGTTCGAGGGGAAGAGAAGATTACAGTTACACCATAGCATAAAAAGGAAAACCAAAGAACAAGAAAAAGATTGATTTTTTTTCCTCATGTCCCCACACTGTTGAAATCACAAAACATCCAGTACCAAAAAGACTAAATATCTGTACTTGTGTCAAACGGAGGAAACCGTGAGTCCTGGAATCAAAAGAAAACGATATGTCTGCACACTGAAACGGAAACTACCAACAAAGATTAAAATCCTTTCGTTCGTTTATTTCGATGAGATTGGTTTTGAAGAACAAATAGTAAAATATCTTCCAAATTTGGTACATATACCAGTCTTCTTGTCTTTCTTTCTTCCTCTGTTATATTGTTTTTTTTTTCCACCTTACAAAAGTCATTTGAATGTCTCTGGTTGGAATCACATCCTCTCCGCTCGGCCTGTGGCGTCAGGGTGCTTGTGTGTCTGTAGTGGCTGGCCATGGTTCACTAGGGACTGTAGCAGTTTGAGGGTCAGGGACAGTCATTTTGGCTATGTACACATTCATAGTCGGTCCATGGCTTCCAGCAAGCAGCGCTATTTCCGCAGATCTAATACACAAACCTACAATGCAAGCAGGAAAATATTTAATATAGGCATTATCCGTTACCGTTATTTGAGGTGCAGAGCACTAAACTTGTACTTACAGAACCGTCCGACGCACTTGCTCCTACTTTGTCTCCTGCTGCATTCCAGCAAACTTCAAAAATGCCCCCTGTCCCCCTGTAGCTATGGACTAAAGCACCAGTCTGTGGAAATGAGAGCAATAAGAGTTCAGATCCAGCTGCATTTGGGCATTCTCTGGATCGGATGGATCAGAGCACCTCTGGTCTTACCTGTGTGTTCCAGATGTGGACACATTTGTCAAAAGAGCCGCTGGCTAGATGGCGTCCGTCAGGGCTGAAGGCCACGCTGTACACGGGCTCCTGGTGTTTGGTTAGTGTGTGGATGCAGATGCCTCGATCTACATCCCAAAGCCGAACAGTGGAGTCAAAGGAAGCACTAGAGGTGTCAGAGAGAGAGAAAAAAAAACTATCAGTTTGTGTTTAGTAATAGTTTTAGTAAACACCACACATTTTATTAGGACTGTAACACCAAAAAAAGAAAAATCTGGCCAATACTGATAAACTATTATTATAATCATTTTTAAAAATTGTAACATTTTATGACTGATAACCACAGTAGCTTGTTACCACCATGTAATAAAAAAAAATTGCGGAAAAAAAAATCTCACAAAAATGCAAACTCACAATTACTTACAAATGTAAGATGTAAACTCACAATTCTGAGGAAAAAAAAGTCAAAATTGTGACAAACAATTGTGAGAAAAAAGTCGCAAAAAAGTAAACAATTGTGAGAAAAGCAACATTCCTTTATTTATTTTTTTTTCATGGCAGAAAAAAGCTTTTAAAGATATCGATCAATGGTAATTAAAAAATGTCTATACTATAGACCTTTTTCCTGAGTAAACGATGAGTGCCGCCATTATGAATTCTGACTTCCAATTAGATGCTCTTCGGTTCCGTTCTCCATAGGAACCTATTCAAATAGTGCCCATCTGTTTTTAATGTAGCTAACGTCAGCAGCTTTGTGTCATCTACACACTCATTAAACTTTGAGGAGTGAGGCACTGACAAATGACGGTCATTGCGACACTGTAAAGTGATGGCGCTATGGAGCCATGTGTTTTTTAAAAACATTTTAATAGGTTTAACATTAGATTATCAGCACGGAATATACGCAAATTTGACTAGAAACACTGAACACCACAAATGCAAAGCATCATTCCGGCTAAGAGTTAGGCGTGACTTCCACGTTCAGGAAAAACGTCTATACTAAGTATAAAACTAAAACTAAATAAATAAACTAAAAACAAAAAAGTTAAATGCTACAAGTGAATTTAGCAATCACAACATTTTTACATTTTTTCAGCATGAAAAATGGATATTCATGCTAAAAATTCTATTTAACAGCGTTACATTACATTTTTGTTTACCTTTGCTGTCATCTAAAGTTGAAGAAACACACACTTACGATGGAGATTTACCGCTGATTACAGAACCGGCTTTCTGACAAGATGCGCGTTAAATATCGCATGCAATTTATCGTGCAGCCATAATATATATATATATATGTATATAAATTAAAGAAGATAAACACCCTGATATGGTACTTCTAAAAAAATAAAATTATGATAGTATAGTGTAGAATATACAGGAAGCGAAGTAGGATCGAGAGAAGGGGGTGGGATCAGGAAAGGTCCTCGAGCCGGGATTCAAACTCGGGACGCCTTTAGCGCATACGGTGCCGACACACTTTTTTAAATTTAAGAAAACAGTTGGAACATTATGTTAATTGACAGGTGTGTGTGGTAAATAACCAACAAAAATATTGTCTGATATACAGTATACCAGTCTATAACTACTCACAGTAGCAAATGTGCATTAATAGCTTTCCCACAACTTTCATTAATGTGAAA